AATTTAGCGTGAAAATATTCCACTGATTCTAGCGGGGATATTTTCCCGCTAAATTTAGAGGGAAAGATTATCCTCATGACGGCGCACGTGACATCACGTATGACGTCACATGTGACGTAAAACGTGACCCTCCCCAGCTTACCCTCTCCTCCTCCTCAAGAGCTGCGCTCTAATTCGGTATTACAGAGAATCGCAAACGTCTTTAATTTTTTTCTTTCCAAAACATAAAACAGTTACACTTCATTTCTGCCGTGGTGTCGAGCCATGTGCATTTTTTCAGTTTTTCTTCGCGTCTTTTTTAGACCGCAGCTTCTAAGCGCCCGTTTCCGGCGTGAGCGGCGTTGCCGTCGCCGTCGGCGTAACCGCGACCTCCCTCCCACTCTCCCTCCCCGCCTCCCCCCCCCCCCCCCCCGCCCCCCCCCCCCAGGAGCTCGAGAGGACCTCGGGTTCCTTCGGGAGGACCTCGGGCTCCTTGGGGAGGATCTTGGGTACCTTCGGTAACCTCGGGCCCCCCCATGTCACAAGAACCCCCAGGTCACGTGACCCCCCCCCGAGGTGACGTGCCCCCTCTCCCCCTGAGGTCACGTGACACCCCCCCGAAGGTCACGTGACCGCCCAGGTCACGTGACTCTCCTCAGGTTACGTGACCCCCTGAGGTCACGTGACACCTCGAAGTCACGTGACCCCCTCCCCCCGAGGTCACGTGACTCCCCTACCCCCCCCCCCCCCGAGGTCACCGAAGGAACCCGAGGTTCCTTTGGCGACCCCCCCCCCCTTCCCGAGGCCAGGTAACCCCCCCGAGGTCACGTGACCCCCGGGTCACGTGACTACCCCCGGTCTTCCTGAGGTCACGTGACCCCCAAGTTCATGTAACCCCCTCTCCAGGTCACGTGACCTCCCCTCCTCGAGGTGACGTGGCCCCCCCTCCCCCCGAGGTCAGATGACCCCCGAGGTCACGTGGCTCCCCCCCAGGTGAAGTGACACCCCCCCACCCGAGGTCACGTAACCCCCTCCCCGGAGGAGACTCAAGAATGAGGGGAGGAGGAGGATAAGGAGGTGACCTTAGGTCCCCTCAGTACCCTTCCGTCCTCCTCCTCAAGAGCTGCACCCTAATTCGGCGTTACAGGGAGTTGTAAGCGGCTTTCATTTTTTCCCCATCGCTCCCCTATCTTCTGGCAATGCCTACGCCCCCTCCCCTCTTTCCTCCTCCCCCTCATTGGTCATGTGACACACCATATCAGTTTCCGCGCTAAAAATAGTGCAGAAATAAGAGTCATATGACACACCGACTCCCTCTTCGCATTTCTCTCTCCCTCTTCTCCCTCCCTCGCAATCCCACTCCTCAACCTCCTACAGTGCCTCTTCTCCTCTCCATCTGCCTTACTTCCCCTCCCTCCGCTTCGTCTTTCCCTCCTCATCCCCCTCCTACATTGCACTTCCTCCCTTCCCTCTCCCTCTTCATGCTCATGTGACAAGGCAATTCAATTTCTCTAAATTTATGAAAATAATCATTGAGGATGGTTCAGCTTCGCCTTTAAAGGGCACTGACTGGTAAAACTAATTTCATTTTTATTTTCACAAACAATTGAAAACGATGCCCTGGACATTACCCCCAAAACTTGAAACAGTTTCCCCGCTAAATTTTGCTAGAAAATTCACGCCACCTGACTTCAACAGTAATTCTGTTTCTCGACTAAATTTAGCGGAAAAAGTGACGTCACATGACTTCGTGTCACGTCACCTATAAACAAATTCTATTTCTCCGCTAAATTCAGCGGAAAAATTGACGTCACGTGACCCCAACACCATTCAATTTCCCGCTAAATTTAGAGGGGCGGTTAAGGGGACGGCGACGTTGACGGCGACTCCGCCAAACGCAGGAGCGAGCGCCTAAGAGCTGCGCTCTATAAAACAATTTCCAAAAGCCGACATTGAAGTTCCCGCGCAATACGCGCCAGTGCAGTAACGTCGAAGATTGAGTCGTCCTGCAATTCAAGTTTCTCTCATATGCACCCGTTTCGTGTTCGCCCGCGGCCCCGCGATGAGCCGCTCCGTTCGGCCGCTTATCGCTGCGAGCAGACGACGCTTCACTTTCAAGTCTGAAGTTGTTTTAGGGCTCTTTCAGCGATCTCAAATTCTTTTAAACGTTGTGAGGTCAAAGAGAAGGCGCAGTGGACTTTTGTGAGCGACGTGATGGGCCACGTCACGCCGGATCTGCGTGATATGCTGCCCGGCGGAGTCACAACCGAAACTACGCTACACAGACACCAAACCCAGTTGTCTTGACCGTTTGAAGATTTCCTTTTCGAAGTCTAAGACGTCATCGGGCACCTAAAGAAGGGAACTTCGTTCGATTCCTCGGCTCTCCAATCATCCTCAGTGCGTCATCCGTCGAGCGCCGCCATCTTTTCCGAGGGAGGATCGAAAGGCAGGAGGCGACATCACTCCGGACTCCGAGTTTCGGTATTTCAAAAAGAAGGGCCGTAGTGCGTTCACAATCACGTTAAAGAACAGTTCTGCGAATGCCGTTATTAAATATCAAGAAATGTCGCTTACAACGCTTCTAAATTTTATATTCAAATACGTCAAAAATAAAAAGAGGCGAGGAGGTGTTAAGGAGCGGGGGAGAAAAGCACCAAAAATTAAAAAAAAAAGTGCGGGCGTGCGTAAGGAAATATTTTTGCGTGTTGGAAATTTTCGCGTGTTTATTACTACAACTTGTATTGTTTTTGACAACAACAACAACAACGATATTTGGGGTGTCAGCGCAGCTTTAAGCGTGGAACGCGATAGCGAAATCGGGACCCGTTGGTAGAGCCGTTTCAAAGAAACCCTCACTCGTGTCCAAGCCGTGCAACCGTGTGTGCGTGGTCTAGTCGGTAGCTTCACGTGTCACGTGATATGGTGCCAAATTTAGTGGGTGGATAGAGTCATAACATCACAATCACGTGTGGCTTCGCACGTTACTGTGACGTCGTGGGTCTATCACCCAATCAGGATTTTCCGGTCCCACCGCCGCCGACGCCGATGCCGAATTTTCTGCGACACGAGCTCTTGACTTCCTGAACAATCGCTCCTAAAATCTGCATTTCATTCGCTATCGACCAACACTGCTTAAAAAAAAAGCCCGCGTATGCCCCCGCCAGGTGTGGGAAAGGCACGTGCGCAGAGACCAGATTCCCGCGAGGTAAAGCACCTGCGCTTGCTCAGTACAGACAGCATAGCCACCGTAGTGGTGTGACGTCAGAAGGTTAAATTGGTCTATAGAACTGAAAGTAAAGGTCGATATGACTGTTTTGAAACAAAAATTAACATTATTCTATGGTTGCTCACCAATAAACGACAGGCCAGTGGAAATCATAATATACGTGCTCGTTAGACCAATAGGACGTCGATACTCGTGATGACGCCCATACCCACGCGTAGAGAGCACAGAAAGTGTCCAACTGCTGAGCCAGGGTCGCCTGGTCTATGGGCCGCGTTTGCAATACAAGCTGCGAGGAGGTGACGAACGCGTTGGTCGTCAATAGGGTATACACTTCGGCTAGTTGGTGGTATATTTCAGGATTAAAAGCGCTAAAGGAAAAGGCGAGTAAAAGAAGACACACACACCGTAGAGCGCACTTGCAACTAAGGTTTAATCTGATTTAAACCAAAGAAGAAACATATATGCCTTGGCAAAAATCATCCACGTCATGTAAACAAATATAATCTTTCTAGCTTGAGTTAACAAAGGACTACTCTCAGCGCCTCAGAAACGGGGCAAACTGTGTTCACGAATAGAAAGGGGAGATTTGAGGGTGGGTGTATTTAAGAAGAAGCATATAATTAAATATGTGGAGTGCAAGGAAGGGTTGGTGTGTAGAATACCTTTAACGTGTGGGAGGGTTTACATAGGTCAAACCGGAAGGTTGCTCAACGACAGACTAAGGGAACACGCACTGGCAGTAAGATCTTCGCAACGGGTAATCTTGCGATACACTGCAACCGATGCGATTGTGGGACAAAGCTTCAGGAAACTGTTATCGTGAGCAGGAATGGTGACAAAATGACTAGAGAGATTTCGGAGGCGTTTTTCACAAGGAAGTGCTACGTCGACACGTGCATTAGCGCGCGATCGATAGCAGTGTACGATTTGCAGGTGGCGTATCTTCAGTCGTTTGTTAACTCAAGCTAGAAAGTTTGTATGTGTTTACACGACATGGATGGTTGTTGACAAGACATATATCTTTCTTCTTTGGTTTAAATCAGATTAAACCTCAATTGCAATTGCGCATTACTGTTTGTGTGTCTTCTATTACTCGTCCTCGTCTTTTAGCGCTTTTAATCCTGAAGCGTTGGTGGTCTGCAAGCGGCCTTTCCTATTGGCTACGTGACGAGGCAGCGCGTGCGCAATTGCGAACAAGGAGGACGCCTTCAGCGGATGTTGTTGTTGCAAGCCTTGTAGGAGGGTTGCTTGGGAAAGTGAGAGCGTACGCGATTGGCTCACACTTTTTCCCCAACCCCCCAACAGCGCTTACAAAAAAAACCTCGGCAGGAGGCGTCCTCCTTTAAATTGTAGTCCACGGGGCGAGGCGGACAACCTTCTCAATCTAGGCTCTCCACCCACGCGCAGGGGGCGGATGATAAAAGGGAGGGAAAGGGTACATTTTTCTGAAGAAATTCCGATAACCAACTTGCGTTTTTCTGTGTTTGTTTTTGCCATGCTGGTGAATTGGCTTGGATAGCGCATTGCGTTTTTGTTATTTGCTGGTTCATTATATGAATATAAGATTAGGTCATTATTTTTCGCGACTGTATTCACCCTTTACCCGGCAATAACGTGTCTGGCGCTGCGGGGTAATTTGGAATAAGTAAATATTACCGAGTACTTAAATAATCGCGTCCCCCCCCCCATCGTTAGGAATTTAAAATGCAGCGACCTTTGTTTAGAGATATCCAAAATCAGCTCGTCTTTTTCTTTTCAATTGCAGTCAGATTAACGCACTTCCTGATTCATCATGGGTGCTTCTGTACTCTCCATGTTGCTTCTACTGAATGGTACGTTACACACAAACTTTGCAATCGTCTGGAGAAACACAGCCGCCCGACGAGAGAATAAAAATGCATGACTTCAAATTTTGCAGCATCTGTAACAGACTGGTCCAATGAAGGAAATCAAGATTCAAGTAATGGCAAAAAAGGTCGTGAGTGTTAAAAGTCGCAAAGTTCAATCATTATAGTTTGCAGATTTGTTGCTATGATTTTACTATTACACTTTAGGAATCTATAGAACCAATTGCGAAAGTTTAAAAATGTTTTTTTTTTTCGCCCGGAAGTCGAAGACTTAAAATAACATTACTTAACAGGCAATTAAGCAAGAGTCGGCGCACTATACGTGGCTTGCACAGGACGTCATTTCCGTTGCCCTCCAGAGAAGAGGGGAAGAAGGAGATCTCCTCTTATCAAGATCCTCCTTTGTGCCTCCCGGATTTGCACAGGCGTCGCTATTCTCCTCCCAGAAGTTTATAGAAGATTAACGTGTCACTCAAAAATCTTACACAAGCAGCTTCCCTCTCCTCCTTTTACTTGGTGTTCAAATGTGTGCGATGTGACGTCAGTGCAAGGAGCCTATACTTTTCTACGAGCCCTTCAGGAACTCGAGTTTTTGTGTCCAGTTCTAAGATAATTTCACCAAAACGCGAAAACTGATTCATGAATATCTCGAAGTCACATGGCATTCAGTATGTGGTTAAATTTGTTTAACCTGTATTTGGAAACGCCGTCAAAACTGTAATCGCAGCATTACATTGCACCTAGGGTGACCTCTTCATGCTAAAAAGTGTATTAGAACGAATTTAGTAACACATACACCACGAACGGTGGCTGTGCTAGCACATTTAATATTCACTGTTGTCCGAAAGCATATTGTGCACCTGCCAATTGTATTGCCTGCCAGAGTGTCGAACCGAAACTCTTATGGGTTCTGTTACTGTTCTGGTTTGCGGCTTTCAGTTCAGTTCCGGTTCAGCTCCAGGGAGCAAAACTAACGGTTGAAACCGGTTTGCACCGCTAAATTGAGAATATATCTTCCACGTTGTTTTGGCAATGGGCACAATTTCCGCCGTGTATCGAGTAACTATGTACAGTTCTTTTTTTAAACTTCAGTGATTTGTTAAAAAAATACAACGTGAAAGCTACACTCATGCGGTTTGCGCAGGTGAGTTACACGGCCAAGGGGACATAAGAGAGGAGGCTTATCGTAACAATCCCTTAGCTAGTTAGATAAAATTTGTTAATTAACTTTTTAATTAGTGGAAATAAACGTATAGTAGTTGGAAACTTGCTGAGCGTTATCGAAAACTCCAAAATCACTCAATACTAGAAGGAATTTGAGCGCGTGAGAAGCGCAGTAGGGCGCTAAACTGACACCTCGTGTAGCAGAAGCAAGGCAACTGGTGAGAAGGCGCCCGTGCGATTTTTCAGACTCTTATCTCAGAGCCCGGCCTTATACCTGCTGCACGAGTTGTATTTTTAGGGCAGTACTTCGGTTCAAACGCGCACAGAGTATTTCTAAAGATGATTCATTTAGTGATTTGCGATGAAGCTCAGCAAGTTACTTCTTGGAGCCATGTGTCGATTTTTACTAAATGAAAAGTTAACGAACAAATTGTACTTAATTAGCCGACTGATTGCTATGGGAGTCCAATATACTATGTCCCCCTTGCCGCATAACTCTCCTGCATACAAGGCATAAGTGAAGCTTCCACGGCTTTTTTAAACAATTGTATAAAGCTTTAAAAAAGCTACAGGAAGATCCATTGTTGCACGGATTCTTAGTGAATTCTTTAGCGTGACCCTTTGAAACTCTACACACGTCGCCCTTTGGGAAACGCTAACGCTGAACCCTTCGCTTTTCTCTTTTGCCTTTCTCTTTTGCTTCCTCTAGTTCTTGCTGCCTCTTTCTTTGGCCTCGTTAGGAGTCATTGTTATTATTTCCTATATAGGGATGTGCATGACGTTTCCCATGATCAGTGCTAACAGATTCTCTAAAAATCCACCACTGAATGACCCTGCAATTTTTCTGACTTTTGTGCTGTTATCTGCTTGTCAGAGTACGTCAATTCATTTGGATGCGGTCATCCATATCATTCGTGGAAAGTGCCACATTCCTACCACTCTTGGAAGGAACCCCATTCATATCACTCGCCGACGAAATCGCATCAATGGTTTTACCAACACACACATCACGGCCCACGTACCGCTCCTACGAAAACCAAAAGCGAAAATCATCCGGCGACGGTAGAGCGGCAATTCCAACCTGCAGCGCCGCAAGACCTCTTACATAACAAGGACGTAGTGCTCAATCAGATGGCGTCATTAGAGAAGGCCACGCTGGGCAGATATTGGAAACCATCATTGCGGCTACGCTAGGCTTAAACGTAACTCGAAGTCGAGCGCTGGCGCAGGCCTCGTTTCCATTCTGTGTCCCGCGTTGGCCTTCTCTGATGACACCATCTATTTCAGTACTACGGCTTTGTTATCTAGAAGGTGTTGCGCTGCGCCTCCTCTTCTGTGTCTCAGCGCCAGCGGTGTGCGTCCCTTTGACGAAATGAAAGGGCTCGTTTTGGCGAAAACCTGGCGGTGTCTGTCAGTTTCCCGGAGTCGGGAGAGAGGGAAAGGGTGATGCGTGCTGGCGTCAGGACTACGGAGCGGCGCCCGCGTCACCCTCTCCCCTCTCCCTCTCTCTCCGGCGCTGAAAAAAAAAGACACCGCTCGGTTTTCGTCTAGACGTGCCTTCTAATACTTACGCATTAAAACACCCTGTACACTACGTTCACCTTTAAGGTAAGGCTACGGTGTTAGCTACTTGCCCGCCGGACCAATCAGCCGTTTCCGTCTAATCACCTGATCCAGCTGTGCGCACGTAGGCGTTATAATGTTATTACAATACACGCTAGAGACTCAGGTGGCGCTATTGTGCTCCTGGGTTTTGAAGCGGACAACAACGAGTTTACCATTTAACTTCCAAAAATGCATTCCTATAGGAAAACGCAAAAGTGTTTCCTCTTTGCGCTCGGTTTTAAAAGCTAATATTGTTTAGTGTTGTCACAGAATAAAAAGTTTGGAACGTTTTACAATCGGATGTACAAAAGTATGTGTCAGTTAGATCGTTTTTCTTTAAATATCATGGCGTCGAGCACTGCGCTAACATTGCCTAATACACATGTATAATACGTGTTGACGTTGCAGTCTGCTATTATAGGGACGTAATGACGCATATAGACAATGCTATGAAGCACACAGAGTGAATCAGCTTGACAAAACACCAAAAAGATACTAATGTATGCCTAATCAAACAATCAAAACAGACAAGAACGAAGCATGGAGTTGTTGAACGAAGAAGGTACTTGGGGGGGGGGGGGGGGGGGGGGGGGAAGGGGGATTAGTAAAAAAAAAATGCATGAATAATCAAAAGAAAGCAGTAACAGGGTGTTGTAGCTCTGAAATAGATAAAATTGTTCTTTTTGCAAGAATTGATAGCTTGTAATGGCATATCATGGTGTACAACATAGAACTGGGCCTCAATTTTTACAAACTTAAACATGGCTCAGCAATAAAACGCTGACTGGGGCTGACGGACACACAGCGTCAAGAGGTGGCCGGTCGTTGAAACTAACGCCCAGCGTCAGTTTTTTTCAGTTTCAACGACCGGCCACCCCATGGCGCTGCGTGTCTGGCAAATGGGTGCCTGGTCGGCGCGGGCTAGCCAATGGAATCGCTGCGATTTAAAAGCTGCCGTTGGCTGTGGACGCGCGCTAGCCAATGGGATCGAAGCGGTCTAAAAGAGCCGTTTGGCTCTTTCGCTTTATGAGACCCAGTTCATGCTTTCGCATTAAAAAAACAGCAACTAAATATATTACGCTTTTATCATGTGAATAAAGCTACACAGTAGCCGTTACGACTAACGAAACTACGCTGATTTCAAATATTCCCTGGTGGAGAGAAATATAGAGCTATATGTACACCTAAACACTCTTATGAGTTGTGAATACGAACGCAGGCGAACCGCTCGTCCACTCCCTTGTTTTGTCTGCTGCATACTTTTCGTTACCGGTCAGCGCCGGCGCTCCCCTTAGCGCGTTGACCTTGACGCTCCGTGTTAACGGCACACTCACGGACACGCCGCGCCATCGAGTGAGCGTTCCTTGAAACCGAAGCGGAAAGACATAGCCTCCGAGATCCCGAAGCCCGCGCGCGAAGGCTTCTCCGGCCCGTCCCATTCGAGTCACTCCCCAGCAGAAGAGTGTAATTGCGCTAACTTCGTCGCTCGCCGCGAGGCGGCGCTGTCTGCCCAGTCGTAACAGAAGGGCGAGCCGTCAAAATCAAATTTGGGGGTTTTATGTGCCAAACCAACGACGGGCATCTGGCACGCTCCAGCGGGGGACTGAGGATTTATTTGGACCACCTGGGGATCTTTTGACGAGCAACCGAAAGCTCGGTTACACGGCGCCTCCTCCGCAATAAGCCTTCGTCAGATTGCGGCCACCTCGGCCGGGATTCCAACCCGCCACATGAAGATCCGTAGGCCAGTGCTCTCGCCTCGGAGCCACCGAGGCGGCTAGGGCGAGCCGTCAGCGTTCCAGGTAGATATCTGCACTGGTACGGGCCAGACCGCGGACCACGGGCCGGGCTCGTGCTTTACGGCTACATTCATGAAGGGCCCGAGCCGGGTATGCGCCTTGCATTCAGTTTACAAAAGGGGCCAAAGCAAGCGAAACGGGCCATCCTTTTTATCGGCTTGTTTTTCGGAACCGTGTTTGGGGGTTGAAAGATGAACCACAATGGGGGATAAACAGATGCTGAAGTATGTGTCTGTGGTTGTATGTTTTGGTATGGTTCGCTGTGTGCAGCGAACGCTCTTCCAGAGGATTAGCGGCGCGGCGTTCCTTTTCGTCTCCGACGGCGCCGTTATCATACAATCGCCTCTCACCACAAACACGCACATGCACGCGCCTATACAATGCGTAGCCTCACCGGCGTAAACCATCTTTACGCAC